TTGGTTACTGAGGCACTAGGAAGTAGAAAGTAAGTTTGGGAGGATGACAAAGGCCTTTTTGAAACAAGATTCCTTGGCTAATGATGACCCTGAGAGGGCAATATTCTTTTCTTTTTTTTTTTTCCACTCTTTTCCTGAACATTCATGTACTTTAGACTTTAAGCTGGTATTATAAGTAGGTTGGCAGTGTTGAGTTCACACAGAGGTACATTGGAAGAAATGCCAGGCGATCTATTTCTGAAAAATCAGTCATTGAAAACCCTATGGAGCACAGTTCTAATCTGACACACATGGGTCGCCAGGAGTCAGCAACTGTGTTTGTGATTGTTATATCTTTAGCCTGTGAGAGAGGACTCGCCTAGAGGTTAGAAGCTGGATGTTAGTTTGTAATGGGAACTCACTCAAATGCAAATATGAATTCTGGTAGCATAGTGCCTAGGGCATTTGACTGCTAACCAGAAGGCTGGCAGTTCAAACTCACTCCTCAGAAGGAAGGTTAGGCAATCTACTTCCGTAGTCATACCACCTCGGAAACCCAAGGAGGGGTCACTATGAGTCGGGTCCAACTTGACAGCATATATCAACAACAATGTAACATAAAAGGAGCTCCGGTGGCATAGTGGATAAGGCATTTGGCTGCTAACCAGGAAGTCAGTGCTTCAAACCCACCTGCTTCTCCATGGAAGATAGGGCAATCTACTTTTGTGAAGATTTACAGCCTTGGAAACCCAATGGGGATCGCTATGAGTCGGAATTGACTTGATGGCAGTGTGTGTGTGTGTGTGTGTGTGTGTATACATACATATATATATATATTTAATCTAACATAAAGGAGCTGTGGTGGTGTAGTGCTTAAAGCATTCGGCTGCTAACCAAAAGGTTGATGGTTTGAACCCATTAGCCACTCTGTGGGAGAAAGATGTGGCAGTCCGCTTATGTAAAGATTTACAGCTTTGGAAACCCTATGAGGCAGTTTTACTCTGTCCTAAAGGGTTGCTACGAGTTGGGATTGACTTGACGCTAGTGGGTTTGGGTTTTAGAATCCAACACGTAAGAATGGACTGTAATTTTTTATTTAGGCGAATTAATTCAATAGAGGATGCTCAGTGACTAAATATCCTAGAATATTACTTGACTGTATTTGGAAGCAAGGATCTTAGTAATTTGAATCCATTCTAATATTACAATTGCTATTGTGAGAAATGTTTCAACCACTATTTTTGAGAGCCTAGTACGTACCTGGCACAATGCCAGAAAAATATTTAGAGTCTACATAAAAATCACTAAAACCATGTTTGTAACTGCTTTGATGGTTTCTAGCACTATCTTCAATTAGGAATACTGCTTTATAATCTAGCAGGCTTCTGCCTCCTAGAACTTAATAAGGACAAGTGAAATAAAATTCAATGAAAATTATCCTTTTACACACTAACTCTCTCATTTGGACTTTCAAGTCCATATGTTTAATGAAATGCATTGTGAAGTAGCTTCTCTTTCACAAAAGATGAATAGATGGATAAAATTTCTTAGCAGAGATAAAAACCAATAAATTATATCGAAGACTGATATGTTCCTGAAAAAGAATTTAAAAGTCGCTATACTATTTTAATAGCACTGCCTTGGTGAGGGGTTGTGCTATTAATAGCAGACTTCGAAGATTTCTGTTAGGTGAGGAAAGAAAGTTATAACCAGAAGGAATTGAAAGAATTCAGAATAAGCTTGTCATGCCAGAGAAAACTATAGCAGTTACTCCAAAAGTATTCATTTAAATCCCCCGTTCTACTATTTATGCATGTGTGGTAAACCAGCTATAATTGCTGCAATATTGTCACTTGGTTTCCACAGAAGACAGCCATCTATTGTTTTGGTCTACAACTTCCCAGACCAGTCTTAGACCACCAGTCTTTTTCAATTGTCCACCCACAAAAACAAAAAAATTTGTAGTTTTTCTCTTTTAAGCTTATGCACATGCATGAAAGAAAACAGAAGTTTACGTGTCTAGGTTGTTTTTTCACTGCTTGCATAACTAAAAAGAAAAATGTTTTTATTTAAAAATAAAACTTAGTAAAGGAATAGTCTATAATATGGACCAAGTGCATTTGGAATGCTTTAATAAAAATAAATCAAGATATTTAACTTTAAAAAGCATTAAGTATACAAGCATACTATACAAGCATTCCCTATTTGACTTTATATTTTGCCACCTTTGAAAAGAGCATTTTCTGAAGACTCACCACACTGGGTAAGTTTTGTAGACATATTTTGCAGACTTTGTTTTACAGACCTTGCTTTTACAAGGCAACATAAAGAAATTTATAAAGCTTTTTCTTTTCAATAGCAGACCTCCCATTATCCATCCTCATAAAAATGAATTTCATTTTTTCCAAAAATCTTTCCTGTTTTTGCCCACACATTTGTATTGTCATAATTGTATTCACTCTTTCTATAATTTTGTATCATTTTACATGTAATATTATAATATCAATATTTCTCATGTTTCATACTCAATATAGATATTATAAGTAAATATTTTGACTTTTATGCTATCTTAATCTGGTTTAATATTAGGATAACTTTTACATTTTATAAATCTGGGAATACTGTGCATATTTTTATACACACCATAAATATTTATAAAACACAAGAAGCAATTATTTCTTCAAAGTTTTGGGGGGCAACCCTTTACCAATGGCTCTATTGATCAAGTCATATTTTTGGGGAACTGGTTAACTATAAACTTAATTTTTCCTGAGTTATTGGACTTTTAAAACTTTTCCAATTATGAATTTGTAATTTAATTTGTGTAGATGATATCAGTATGTTCCATTTACACATTCACGTATACTGTTAAACAACTGTGCATAGTACTTCACACTTTTTAAAAATCTTTAATAATTATGTGTTCCTTGAGATAATTATCTCCTTTCTTATTTACAACTTTATTTCATTTGTTTATTCTATTTTTGCTTTCAAAGAGTCAACTCTTGATTTACTTATCTACTTCCCAGCTTTCTATTTTACCTTTTTAATTTTATTTTTGTTCCTTGTTTTCAATTATCTGTACTTAAATGATTGATTTCTTTTCCTTTGTCTGAAAATAAACATTCAAAAAGCTCTGAATTAACTCCAAGTTCTGCTCTGGTCATATTACTTAGCTCTCACAATATACAGGACTTTTATTATTTGCTAAATAGTCTCCTATTGTGTCTTTTACTTCTTTTGAGACCCAGTTTTTCGTTGGAAGACTACTTTCACATTTCCAGGTGTTTGGAGTTGTGTTTATTGTTAGCGTTGGGGATGTGAAGAGAAATGAGGTTGATTTAAAGTTTTTTAAATGGATGACATTTTCTCTGAATCTTTAAAGGTCGTGTATATTGTGCACATTCTGTAGACACTTGAAAATCAGATTTATGGCTAATTAATCTGAAGGGTGCATTTTATAGACTAAATTTAGATTCCTTTATAAAGAGGAGCTCTGGTGGTGTAGTGCCTAAGGCATTTGACTGCTAACCAGAAAGCTGGAGGTTTAAACCCACCAGCCACTCCTCAGAAGGAAGGTTAGGCAATCTACTTCCGTAGTGGTACTACCTCAGAAACCCAAGGAGGGGTCACTATGAGTCGGATCTGACTCAACAGCAGTGAGGTTTTTTTTTTTTTTTATAAAGCCACATTGTTTATATACCAAGTTCCTCCATATTATGAGGACTAAATGAAATTAACAATTGTGCAGTATTTAGCATAGGGCCTAGCACATCATGACTACCCAACAAATGATTGGTGGCACAGTTGCAACAGTAACAATAATATTCTAGTAGTAATGCTACTCCTCTTGTCTCTTGTGCAGGCTCAGCTACACTCCTGATCTGGGGAATAGTAACTAGCTATATGTCTTTGGTCTGGATTTCTTTATCTGTGACAAAATGTGGCCAGACTAAATGTTTTCTAAAGTTATATCCAGCCCCAAAATTCTAAATTTTGTTGCCAGTTTGAGACCCAAATTCTAGCTACTCTGAATATAGGTCACACATATCCCTTATTCCTACATGCTCCAACAGTCAGTTTTTAACAGCAAAGTTCTCTGGGTACCAAAGACAAGCTAGAAAATTTTACTAAACCTGCAACTCAAAAGTTTTGAGCAAGTAGGTAAATCAAATTTTCAAAGGTATTCATCAGTCCTACTTGTACTTTCCAGGAATGCAAGTAAAATTTCCAAAGCAATGTTAAGCCAGACCTATTCGTTTCCTTCATGAAAGCCATGCTAATGTGTGTTCGTTTCCCATCAGTAGTAGCAATCAAAGAATTTAAAAGAAAACACAAAGTGTTTGCATGGCTGGCTATACTCCAGGACATTCCTCCATTATAATCATAAAAGCCAATATACATTGGAGATATTGTGGTTTCGGTTCCAGACAACTGCAAATAAGGGAGTATTGCAATACAGCAAGTCACATGACTTTTTCGGTTTCCTAGTGCATATAAAAGTTATGTTTACACTATATTGTAGTCTATTAAGTTTGCAATAGCATTATGAAAAAGTAAAATATTGTGAGAATTACCAAAATATGACACAGAGGCATGAAGTGAGCACGTTATTGGAAAAATGGTGCTGACAGATGAGACTGCCAAATCTTCAATTTGTAAATATCACAGTGTCTGGAAAGTACAACAAAGCAAAGCACAATAAAACAACGTATGCCTGGATACACCTTCACTAAGAAAGTTTATCATGAAGATTAAAAATAATCAAGAGTGAAAACTGTTATCATTATTATTAAGAAGGAAAATTTCCCAGTGTAACCATCATTTCCTAACAAATATATGATCGGTTTGAAGCAAAAGCTTCAAAATTGAACTATGGGCAATCTATGAATAACCTGATGCAAAAGCAATAAAAATAATTTTAAAAATCTATGCCTGTCAAAAATAGGTCCTTCTCCTGCAGTTTTAATTCTGTTTTAAGCAAGGCATCACCATAACTACCATAAAAAGCACAGACTTACCCATGCGATAGACAAAGTTGCCTTCAGTTTCTGACGACGATGGAGACACCAATTCTTCCTCAAATTCATTGGAGCTAAAGGACCCCGAATGGTTTCTTTGTCTTGTTTTCCCCATCATGGCAGAGTTTGTGGCCATGACGTGCCTCAAAGAGTCATTAAGATAACGGTTCAACAAGCTGCTCTTATATTTGGGGGGTGACACGTAGTCCTCACTTGCACTTGACCCTGGTCTCACTCCAGTTTTGATCACTGAGCTCTCACTTTTCATCACAGGATGGTGAACTGGCTTGTTATAGCCCCCCTCATTCATGTGGTTTCTTGAAGGATTTTCTCCATCTAAAGGCAAGAAATATCACTAAGTAGTACTTACGCACTTTTACCCAACTGTTCAACTGTTACCTTGAACCATTAAACATATGTAAAGAAAAATATTTAAAATGTATTAAATTATTGTTGCTATTCAGGATTAATTTTTAGACAAAGAAAAGCCAGATTGGTAGGTGATTTCTCTGTATGGTAGTTTGATTTTAATGAATTTTACAGAAAATACTATTCTGACACATGATAAATCTATAAACAAGAGGAAAAGGCCATAATTCCGTTGGTCATTTATAGTACTGTAAAAGCGAAGTTACCTCATGCAATAAAAAAGAACTGTTATGGCACCATCATATTTTGTGGGCTCAAACCTTAAAAATAGCAATTGAGGTGAACTTCTTGTTACAGACACAAAGTAAAGAAAGCAAAGTAAAAATATTAACAAACCTTCAGAACATGAATCATCGCTGCTCACACTAAGCCTCTCAGCATTTCCTTGAACATACTTGTTGTATAATTTTATTCTTAAAGCCCAGCTTAAATCTGGCTGCCGAACAGTATTCTTAAGCCGACGTCTTGCATTAGCAAACCAATTTGACACCTAAAAAAGTAATATTTTTTAATTAACAAAACACAAAAACAGAACCCATCATACAATTACTATATCATAAAGGACCTAAACCTTTCTCAGCAGCTCTGATTTTTATACATTCCCAGGACTTGATTGTAATGGACATTCATATTAATACATTCATGCTGAACACTTAGCACTCACTGTATTGTGAGAGGAAAAGAAAAAAAAAGGCCTTGCCATCAAGAAAACTTTAGTCCAGTAAGAGAGATAGGATGTTGTTGTGTGCTATTGAGTCAATTTTGACCCACAGTGACACTGTGACAAAGTAGAACTGCCCTGTCAGGTTTTCTTGCCTGTAATCTTTATGGGAGCAGATTACCACGTCTTTCCCCACAGAGCTACTGGGCGGGTTCAAACCACCAACCTTTTGGTTAGCAGCAGAGTGCTTAATAGTTTGTACCACTACGGCTCCTTAGTAAGAGAGACAGGATAGTATACAAAAAATTCTAAAAGAAGAATGTAATAAATGCTATGAAAGGCATTAAAATAAAATGATACAGAAGTCCAAAGGAAGAAGAGATTACTTAAGACTTAATGAGAAACTTAAGCTAGGCTTTTGAGGAAGGGTAGAACATGTTAGGTAGAGTAGGTAGGGAAGTATATTCCCAATAAAGAAGATGGAGAAACAAATATAAATCGAATTCAAGAGACATCGGAGAAATAGGAAAGAGTTAAAGATGAGCTTGAATAATCATCAGCATGTGTAATCAAAAGGTTTGTTGTTTGGTGTCATCAAGTCGATTTTCAACTTGTAGTGACTCAGAACTGCCCCATAGGGTTCTTTTGGCTGTAATCTTTAAAAGAACAGATCATGAGGTCTTTTGCCCATGGAGCCACTGAGTGGGTTGGTTTGAACCACCAACCTTTCAGTTAGCAGCCAAACATTTAACCAACGTGCCACCAATGCTCCTATAAGAGAAGGGTAGGTGGTATCACTTTGCAAAAGAAAACAGGCTTGTGAAGTGATGTATCTGATTAGCGAAATGTTTAGTGTGAGGTCCTCGAAAAATATGCAGGTAAAATGTCCTTTAAGAATATCAAAGTGAGTATCTGAAACATAAGGGAGAGACAGATTCATTCTGGGAGTCAAATGCACAGAGGTGATAGCTGAAACTGTGACAGTGGGCAGGAAAAAATGATGTTCAAGGACCACTGTCAATAAGTAGGATTGTAAAAAGAGGAGTTAACAAAGTAGTCAGAAATACAGCAATTAGAGACATAAGGGGAGGAACGAAAAGCCAAAGGGCATGCCTGTTTAAGCTAAGAATCAAATACTTCTACAGCAAAGAGGTGAGGCAAAGAATGAAGAAAATGCTCCAGAACAAAGAAAAAGTAGTCCCGTTTTTTTTAGGTTTTCAGAGGCTAAAATCGTACTTGAGGTTTCTTCTAAAATATCAGTATGTATTTTAAAGGCCATATTTGTTTTTAAAAGAATGATACATGGAAAGAGAATTAAATAAATATTTTTTGTCAGTATGTTCCAGAACAGGATCCCATGTTTCTATAATGGTTTGTGTGGCAATGTTTGTACTGGGAGTTTCTTTTTTTAGATCTATACTATAAATACACATTTTTTTCCCCACATTGCTCAAACCCTAATTATTGAGTGGACCTTTGGTTGTTTCTACTTAAAAAGAGGAAGAAAAAAAATTGATATCTTTTTTCCTTGTCCTGATGGATAAAACATGTAGTTTTTTCCAGTGTAAATAATGATGACCTATTCAATATTACCTTCTTTGCACCATAAGCAATGATAACTGTCCTTTTAAATTGATGGAAGTACCAAGTGACTGGCCTCTTTCTTCATTACATCTCTTAAACCTTCTTCCTACTCTCCAACTTATTGCCAAAATGTTTGTCTAAGTCCTGGCTACTACTAACCAAGAATTTTAGGAAATAATTCTTGAAAACTACTCTATCTTCACTCCATCCTTTTGAACGAATCTCAACAATAATCATCAAATGCAAGTGTCCATGCATCATTTTGATCTAATCACTTGACTTCTTTAACCTCATTAATGTTCCATTATCCTGTGAATGTGGAATAATACATAGAGACCTGGTTTCCTCAGAAAGCAATCAGAATTGGAGATGCTGGATAGAGTAACAAAAATAATGTGGAAGAAAATTCAAAAACATAAAGAAGACCAGGATTACTGGCTGGATGTTATTGCTGTTAGGTGCCATTAAGTTGGCTGTAACTCACAGCGGCCCTGTGTACAACAGAAGAAAACAATGCCCGGTCCTGTGCCATCCTCACTATCCTTGCTGCGCTTGAGCCCATTGTTGCAGTCACTGTGTCAATCTAGCTCACTGAGGGTCTTCCCCTTTTTCTCTGAACCTCCAGACTAAGACAGACTCGGAAGAAGGAAGAGGTCATCCACTTGTGAAGAAAACTGGCCACAGAAAACTAGTCAGATAGAGACTAGGGAAACCCCTGAGACTATGGACCCTCATCAGCCTTTGGGCCTGGAATTGGACTCAGTCCCATGGCTCAACTCTCAGCCATACGATAGAAAGGCTTATGTCCTGAACAACTACACCAGGAAAATGCACTCCTTAGAACAGTCAACCATAGGAGATCAGAAGGTCATCAGACGGGCAGCATTCACCTTATGAAAAACCAAACACTTTGCCATCGAGTTGAATCTGACTCATGGCAACCCCATATGTTACAGAGTAGAACTCTTCTATAGGGTTTCTAAGGCTACAATCTTAACACAAGCAGATCGCCAGATCTTTCTTCTGTGGTGCCACTGGGTGAGTTCAAACCAGCAACTTTTAGGTCATTAGTCAAATACAAACCATTTGCATTTGACGCCCTAATTCTCTTTATAGTTGGTACTAAACTACCTTCTGCTCTCAACCACTACTCTATATGCAATCAGTTATGTGTGTTTAAGTCATTCCTTGCTCTTCCCACACACTGATGACAGCCTTTTCAAAAAATCCACAGGGAGCTAGCTCAGGGGGCAGGGATGCATAGGAAAGAAGGACACAGGGAAGAGATAACTAGAGGGGGGAAGTTGGAAGGGAGCTGTTACATTGTGGGGACTGCAGTCAATGTCATAGAACAAAATGGGTATGAACTACTGTATGGAAAATGAATTTGCTCTGTAAACTTTCACCCAAATCACAATAAAAATTTAAAAAAAAATCCACCTCCAAATTTTTTAAGTTTCTTTACCAGACAATATAAATAATTCAAATTAACCTTAAATCTTAGGAAAGCCACCACATACTACAGCATAAAATCCAATTCTTATGAAATTCTTCATAAAACAAAAATGCAATGACTTTCTAATAAAAAAAAATACTTAGTGCACTGTAGTTCTCACATATAAAAATGAAAAACCTTTAAATGTCATGATAGGATTAACTACCTTTTACATAGAGAGGCCATACCTTTTCTCATGGTTTATATACTCACAGTTCTCACCATACGGCAATAGTTACACATTAGTAGATTTTCCAGACAGGTTTGCTAATGTGCAAACTAGGCTACTTATATACAGATTTCATAAGTTTGATCAGCACCCAATCTGCTAATATATTTACTCTGCAAGTATTTTGGAGTCTCTGAAGTTTACAGTACAACTGGAGGGCCGGATTATAGCTCTGAGCCAAAAACAAACAAACAAAAAACAAAACAAAAACAGAAAGAAAATCAAAGCCCGTTGCTGTTGAGTTGATTCTGACTCATGACGACTCCGTATGTTACTGAATAGAACTGCTCCAAAGGGTTCTCTTGGCTGTAATCTTTACAGAAGCTGATTGCTAAGCCTTTCTTCCGAGGAACTACTGGGTGGGATGAATCACCAGCGGTTTAGGTTAGCAGCAGATCGCAAACTGCTTAAACCACCCAGGTTTCCCTGGATTATAGCCCTAGGTGTTTAATATCTACTTGTATTAAGTTGTACAAACAGGAAACAAATAGTTGGGTTAACTAATTTATATAAATAACTATGTTTGCAATTTTTTTTCTTGATGAATTAATGCAAATTCCTTCTTTCACTGAAGGTAAAAATACCGATTCAAAATTTCTACTTATCACGACTATGGATTAGTACAGCTTGTCATTCAGAGTCTCTTTAAATTTTATTTTACATGAAACAGGCCTCCTTATCAAGGGTAGGTTCTGGACCAGCATTTTAATGCCAAACTCAGAGTTTTAAAAGCCTTTTGTTTTATAGCAAAAGCTTCGAGAACCAAATCTCTAGAAGCTAGAAGAGAAGACTAAGTAATTTTCATCATACTCTAACAGAAGTGTTTACATCCATCATATTGACTGAGCAATCACAATAAACCCAAAGGGATACATTGGCATCTGTCCACCTTCAACTACACTGAGTTAACAAACTTATTCTGGGTTGTTTAATTGAAACTTTGAGCACCATTTCCACACCATGTAGTATAACACTTGAGACAATGCAGAAGGATCAATGTAAGGTTTTTTATGAATATTTAACAGCTGTTATAAGCCTTGTTGCAAACAGTTTATGTGCTCGGCTGCTAACCAAAAAGTTGGCAGTTCAAGTCCACCCAGAGCCTCCTCAGAAGAAAGGCCTGGCAATCTACTTCCACAAAACCAACTACTGTAAATCCTGTGGAGCACAGTTGTACTCTGATGTACATGGAGTTGCCATGAGTAGGAATCGGACTGATGGCAACTAGGGTTTTTTTTTTTTTTTTTAATGAGCCCTAGTGGCACAGTAGTTAAGTACTCAAAAAGCAAACTCACTGCCTTCAAGCCAGTCCCAATTCATAGCAACCCCTCCTTGGGTTTCCGAGGGATTATCTCTATGGAAGTAGATTTCCCAGTCTTCTTTCTGAGGAGTGGCTGGTGGGTTTAAACCACCAACCTTCTAGTTAACAGTCAAATGCCTTAGGCACTATGCCACCAGAGCTAAGTGTTCAGCCAATAATCTAAAAGGTCAGCAGTTCAAACCCACCAGCTGGTCCATGGG